GCCAATACGCACAGGAAAAGATGTTCAACATCACCAATCATCAGGGAAACGCAAATCAAAACTACACTAAGATATCACCTTACACCCATTATAATAGCTATAATCACCAAGACAAAAAATAACAAATGTTGGAGAAGATGTGGGGAAACGGGAACTCTCATACACTGCTGGTGGGAATGCAAACTGGTGCAGCCTCTATGGAAAACAGTATGGAGATTCCTCAAAAAATTAAAAATAGATGATCCAGCTATCCCAATACGGGGTATTTATCCAAAGAACCTGAAATCAACAATCCACAGAGGCTTATGCACCCCTATGTTCATTGCAGCATTATTCACTACAGCCAAGAAGTGGAAGCAACCCAAGTGCCCCTCGACTGATGAGTGGATAAAGAAGATGTTATATACATATACCATGGAATACTACTCAGCCATAAAAAAAGACAAAATTGTCCCATTTGCAACAACATGGATGGACCTAGAGGGTATCATGTTAAGTGAAATAAGCCAGACAGAGAAAGACAAACACTGCATGATTTAACTCATATGTGGAAGATAAGCTAACACAGCCCAGAGAGAACAGTTTGGTGGTTACCAGGTGGAAGGGGGTTGGGGGTGGGCACAAGGGGTGCAGGGACGCATTTATATGGTGACTGACAAACAACAATGTACAACTAAAATTTCACAATGTTATAAACTACTATGACATCAATAAAAAAATGCAAAAAAAAATAGTGTGAGAAATAATGTAATAGATACCTGATCCAGTTGTACTATGAGAGCAAATGGGACAGACATCAAAGTCAGAGTGTGTTGTGTGTGTGTGTGAGCACACAGAGATGTATGTGCATGTACAGCCCCAAACAACAGTAAACATCTACTCAGCACTTACTATATGTTAGGCAATGTTTTGAGAGATTTCCATGAATCAGCCCATTTAATCCTCACAATACTATGAGGTGGGTCCCATTATGATCTCCATTTTGGAGATGAGTAAACTGAGGCATAGAGAGCTCTTAACCATTCTGCTATTCTGCCTCTCATTTAAACTTCATAGCAATTCTACAAATTACATGTCATTTCAATTTTACAGATGAGGAAGTACGTTCCAAAAGATTAAGCATTCAGAGCCAGCCCTGATGGCCTAGTGGTTAAAGTTTGGTGTGCTCCGCTTTGGCAGCCCGAGTTTGGTTCCTGGGTGCAGAACCACACTTCTATCTGTCAGTAGCCATGCTGTGGCAGTGGCTCACATAGAAGTAGAAGGACCTACAACTAGAATATACAACTATGTACTAGGGCTTTGGAGAGGGAAAGAAAAACGAGAGAGAGGAAGGTCAGCAACTGATGTTAGCTCGGAGCAAATCTTTCCCAGCAAAAAAAAAAAAAAAAAGATTAAGCACTTTACCCAAAGCCACCCAGTTAGTAAATGACTGAGTTGGAATACTTGACCAAGCTTGTCTGAGTTCAATATCCCTTGTTCAGTCTGCTTTTATCAATAGAGACAGATGCTTGACCTTTCTGTGCCTTGGTTTTGCCATCCATAAAATAGGAGGAAATCAACCTAGTGTCAAATATAAAAAATCCTAGCCTGGTCATCTTTGGAAGATCTACCTTTTTGGGGTGGAGGTAGGGTGATAAATTTCAACACTGGCCAGCCCTCCTGGGACCCTTGCTGGACAGAATTCTGGAAAACAGCTTCATTCCCGTCTTCAGCAGGTCTGACAGGGCCAGAGGAGAAAGCCTGAAATAGAACTGGCTGCCCTTAAGCCTCCACGGGCTCAAGGAAGCTGTTTGTCTAGCTCTGAATAACCCATTCTACGAAGACTATTCTGGGAATTGCCTTATGTGGCAGGGCATTGGCCTGGAGGATTCTGCTGCGCCACATGAGCCCTCCTCCTCATCCCCACCATCGGAGATAAGAACTGACACTATGCAGCCTTGAGGAATGAAAGTTAAAAAGTGTCAAGATATTTAAAAGCATGAAAAGTTATCACAAGGAAGGTGGGAACCAGTTCATCTCCATCTCTACTGAGGCCTGGACAAGAGGACAGGGATTTAGATTAGATGTAAAGAAGAACTTCCTGATACAGCAGAGAGAGGCTGGAACAGATTACGTCAGGTTCAAGAAAACGAGCTGTGAATCTATTCAGACCAAGAGAAATGTAACGGAGCCATACATGTAACTTTAAATTTTTAGTTGCCACATTAAAAAAATAAACAGGTGAAGTTAATTTTTATAATGTATTTTATTTAGCCCAATATAGCCAAAATATTAACAATATAAAATAATGTAATCAATGTAAAAATACTTAGTGAGATATTTCATATTGTTTTTCATACTGTTTTCAAAACCAGTGTGTATTTTACGCTTACAGCATATCTCAGTTCAGACTAGCCCCATCTCAAGTGCTCAATACCCACATGTGGCTAGTGGCTACCGCATTGGGCAGCATATCTAGAATTACTAATGACTGTCTGACACCCAATGGCAAATACAAGGTGTAGTCTGGCTTTATCTAAAGGCAGAAAGTTCTCTAGAAGACCTGAGGGCCTATGAGGGTGAAGGCCAAGAAAACCCTACCTTTTGGAGCCCTTCTCATTGCTAGAAATACGAAGACCCATCACCCTCCGGCAATTCTTAGAACCCACTCGGCAGTGTTCTCTGTTCTCTTTCAGTAGGGGGACCCCGGGCTCCCTCAGGTCTGTCAGATTCAGTGTTTGGTGGCTTGTTAACCCAGGTGGGAAGAGCACTGCCCAGAAGAGCAAGGAAAAGGGTTCCATCCTGGGGTGGACGAGGTAGCCCTATTCTCTCCCCAGCAGGAGATGATGCTCTTTACCCTGGCCAGTCCGTCATCTTGCTGGTGTGAATGGCTGTTCGCAGGAGGAGCCAGGCCAGACAGAGGGGATGGAGAGGTGCAAACCTACCCCTTGTCTGAGGTATGGTTGGTGACATAAGCCCTGACCCAGCCCAGCCCAGCCCATCTTACCTGCACTATTCCGCATTCTCTGTCTGCAGCACCCCTCCTCCAGGTATCTGCACAGCCCTCCCCCTCACCTTGTTCTCACCTCTGCACAATGTCATCTGCTCTAAAAAAGCCAGCCCCACCCACCACCCCATCACTCTCTCTCTTCACACCCTGTTTTATTTTTCTTCAGCACTTACCACTACCTGACATTATAAATTTAGTTGTTCATTGTCTGCCTTCCTCGTTAAAACGTGAATTCCAGGAGAGCAGGGTCTTCATCTGGTTCACCACTGTACGCCCAGGGCCTAGCTAGAGAGAGAAATCTGATAACAGATGAGCCAGGGCTATAAAAAGTCTGATACCGACTGTTGGTGAGGAAGTGAGGCCTGAGGACCCCCACACACTGCTGACTGGAGTGCACATTGGTACAAATACCTAGGATAGCAATCTGGCATTATGCCAAAATAGCAAAGATTTATATCTGATGCCCCAGAAATTCCATTCCTAGGTATATACTCCAGAGAAATGCTTATACATGTACCCCAGGAGATACATGCAAAAATGTTCATAGCAGCATTGTTTGTAAGAAGAAAAAATGAAAAATAACCTAAATTTCCTAAATGTGATGTATTCATATAGTGGAATACTATACAGCAGTTAAAGTGAATTAACTAGAGCTATACATATCTCATGGATGAATCTCACTAATAAAATATGGAGCAAAAAAGAGAAAGTTGCAGAAGAATACAGACAGTTCCTGATTTAGGATGGTTCGACTTAACGATTTTTCAACTTTATGATGTTGTGATAGCGATACGCATTCAGTAGAAACTGTACTTCGAATTTTGAATTTTGATCTTTTCCTGGGCTAGTGATGTGCAGTACGTAGTCTCCTGTGACGCCGGCCAGCGGCAACAGCCACAGCACCCAGTTACCCACAGGATCACGAGGGTGAACAACCGATACACCTACAACCATCCTGCACCCAGAGCCACTGTTTGTCACTTTCAGTACAGTAGTCAATAAATTTCATAAGATATTCAACACTCTATTTAGAAAATGGGCTCTGTGTTAGATGATTTTGCCCAACTGTTAGGCTAATGTAAATGTTCTGAGCACATTTAAGGTAGTAAGCTATGATGTTCAGTAGGTTAGTGTATTAAATGTATTTTTGACTTGAGATATTTTCAACTTATGATGAGTTTATTGGGACGTAATCCCCTCGTAAGTAGAGAACGATCCGTATACAACAGGTCAAACTAAATGATATATTGCTTAGGATACATATACACATATATGCATAACATACATACACATATATATGCATAATGAGTATAAGGGGAAGGATGGGGATGACAAACACCAAATTCAGGAGGCGATGTTATCCAGGGAGGAGGAGAGGTACACAGGGAGTTTCAACTATATTTGTAACAGTTTATTTTTTAAACAAGGTGGCAAGTAAAGGGTACTGGTTATTTTTTATAATTTCCTGCATGTTTGAATTATGACTTTTTTTTTTTTTTTTTTAAAGAGCCAGGACTAAGGAGTCTTACACAAAGGAGAGGGAGAAGCTGGGGCCCTACTTGTGAGGAGATTCGGAGCTGTCCTTGCCACCCTCTGGACCCAGAACCCAGAGTAAATGAGCTAAGGACTCTGACGTCTGCCCACTAAGGGTGAGACACAGCACGGTGAAGCCTCTCCTGTGGGTGAGGAGGGGAGGGAAGGACATTCGGACACTGCACATCTCCGTTCAGAACCTAGGTACTGGCTGCTCCCCACCGTCTGGGCTGCAAAGAACCCCAGGTGAAGCTGTGGGGCAGCCGGGGGAGACTGGGAGGGCACACGCACATGAGTGCACACGCCTGCATCCCACACGCACACCAAGTGCACAGGCTGACACCCCCACGCTGACACACACTGCCTTTCACACAACCTGGCACGGACACTCTGACAGTTTACAACATAGTTACACGCCCTCGCGCACTCACACAGACATACACACACCCCTTCCACCACCCACTCCAACCAGGACCCCAGAAGTGGAGACGCTGCAGAGCCTGCCAGCTGCAGGCCCAGCCAACCCTCCCTCTCTTCTAATGCTGGGTTTTTCCAGCTGGAGCCTCACTCCCTCTACTGCAATCTCTGGAAATTCGTGTCTGACGCGGCTGCTCCTGCACATTATTTATTTATTTCCTCTTTGCCTCCCGCTGAGACCCTCCTGTCAGGAGAGCTGCAGCCTGGGAAGGGAGACAGGCGGGAAGCTGCGGGGACAGAGGAGGCAGTGAGGACGGAGGGCAGGACCACGCAGAAGCCCCCACTCTGCTCAACAAACTCATCAAGCCCCGCAGGGGCCATGAGCACCAAGCAGGAGGCCGGGAGAGAGGAGGGAGACACCAGTAGGAGGGGACAGGAGGGACAGCTTCGGGACCGAGCCCACCTGAGCCAGCAGCGCCGGCTCAAACAGGCCACCCAGTTCCTGCACAAGGACTCAGCCGACCTGCTCCCCCTGGACAGCCTCAAGAGACTCGGCACCTCCAAGGACTTGGTGAGGCAGCCCTCTCCCCTCCCCACCCCCATGGAAGTCCCCTGGCCCTTTCTCTCTGCTTCCCCACATCCTGAGGAGCGGGGGGGAGGACCCTAAAGTGTAGACCCTAAACCTTCAGACTCTCCCTCCCTTGTTGAGAATGGGGGAGAAGGAGTCCCACTAACTCGAGGGGCTTTGCCTTGACCTTTCTCAGGCTCTTGGCTGGGGATGTTCCCATGGCTTGGTGGCTTGGAGGGACCCTATTCTGATCGCTCGGCTTCCCCCAAACAGTCCAAGGCTCACCTTGGGGGTGGTGAGGAGCTGTACTGTTTAGGAGTAGAGACTTACAGGGACACGAGAAACTTCTGGAGCAGTCATTTATGGCTGCGAGGGCCTGGAGGACTAGTCAGTTTAGGGTTGCGATTTCCCTCCTCTCCCTAAACCACAGACCCCTTCATACCAGGCCTGACCATTCATTTGCCTCTTCCCTTCAGAATGAATGCATTCAAGGCCTCTGTCCTTGCCAGAGCCATCAGGGATTCATATGCTCTCCTTGGGTGCCTCCTTGCTCCCTCCTAGGCGCAATGGCCCTTCCAGGCTCCTTCCCTCCATCCCCTTGCAGCAGCTTTGCCCTCCAGAGGGAATGGGGTTGGGGGAATGACAACAAGGAGGTGAGTGGATCAGGGGTCAACTGCATGTATGCATCTCTCTGAGACAGTGGTTCAAGTGTGAGCTTTGGAGTCACCCAGCCTGGGTTCAGATCCTGGCTCCGCCACTCACTAACTTGGGCAAGTTACTTTATGTCTCTGTGTTGTAGTTTCTCCATCTGTTAAATGAGGATAAAATTAACAGTATCTACCTCATAGGGTTGTTGTGAGAGTTATATGAGCTGATACCTATAAAGAAGTTAGAACAGCGCCTGATAACAGAAGGGGCCACCTAAAAGCTAACTATTATCATTCCTCCAGCTATTGTTCCAGTCAGCCTGAGAGAGCAAGTAAGATCTGTAGGGTCCAGAGAACATGGAATCATGTCTGGCTCTGGCTCAGAGAAGAAAGGAGGGCTTCTGTAGAAGGGAGCACTCCGTTCTCTCTCCATCTCCTAGGCAGAAGGTCTGAGAGGAGGGTACCTTGCAACCTGAGAGGCACAAAGCCATTCCTGCAGCCCCTTCTTCCTGGGAATCTGGAGGCAAACGCGGCCCATCACTGCCTTTCCTGACCTAGTCCTACCTTTCCACATTCCTCGCAGCCAAATGTTCCCCTCCAGGAACCCAGCCCAGAGGCCAGGCAATCCCCTAACTCCATCTCAGCAGTCCCCAAAGAGGAAAAGTGACCAGACTGAGATTTCAATTCAGAGAGCCTCCAGGGGCTTGTTCTTCCTGGCAAAAACAGCAAGCACAGCTGAGAAACAGGGATGGAACAGGGAAGCAGTTTCTTTGGCTCCCAGTGGCTAGGACCTTATAGCTTCTCCCCTTTGGGGACCATCCTACATAGATCTGGCCCTGGAGAAGATGCTCTATTAAAACTGCCATCCCAGAGTGGCAGGTCCAGCTTTCTGATGAGAAAGTCCTGGGCTTTTCACCTCTCCCTTCTGCCTCAGGACCCCCTCCCGAATTGATCTCAAGCAGTTCCCTTGTGTGGCTTTAGGAGTGAAGACACAACAGCTGGAAGGACCTCATTGCCTCCTTCCCTGGGATAGTTCTGGAGCAAACCACACAGCGGTAGGGAGCCTGAAGCCTGCATCCACCGTGGGAAAGGTGGGAGGGGAGCTGGGAACTGCAGAGCCCTGTTTCCGGCCAGTCCCAGAGCTCACTGCCCTTTTCCCAGAGCTGTCTCCTGCTGGCAGCCTTGTGGTGGGAGCAGCCCCGAGGGCCGCATTAAGCCAAGGGTAGAAAAACAATCCCAGGCTCCCAAGGAGAGAGGGCAGGTGGAGAAGCATGTGCAGAGCCTGGAGGAATAGTCAGTCTTCAGCAAGCATTGAGTGCTTACTATATTCTGAGCTAAGCCTTGAGATATAAAGATGAGTGAGGTACACACCTGACCCCAAGGGCTCTCCAGGCTACTGGGGGAGTGAAATCCACAAATAACATCTGTGAGAAGCATGACAAAGGGAGCTAAGAGATGGGATGCCGCCCCAGCCTGTGTGTGGAGGGAAGAGTACTTAGAGGTCAGAGAGGGCTTCCTGGAGGAGGTAAACCCTGCTCTAATTATGGAATGCACATAGAATCCCACACTTAAGATAAAAACTTCTCTCCCGAATAGAGTAGTTCCTGAACAAAGTGTGTTGAGCTAGTCATCCAGCCTGGCCTAGAGAAGAGGGAGAAAGAGGAGCTTCAGGAAGAGGAGCAGGCAGCAGCAAAGGCATGGAGGTGAAAAACAGCCCGGTACAAGCAGTCTAAGCAGGCCCGCTGGGGCGGACATTTGGAGATGGGGAGATGAGGCTGAAGACTCAGGCAGTAGCCAGGTCATCTGGGCTGTCACTTTAAAAAGCTTGGGCTTGGGGCCGGCCCCGTGGCTTAGCAGTTAAGTGCGCGCGCTCCGCTACTGGTGGCCCAGGGTTCAGATCCCGGGCGCACACAGATGTACCGCTTATCCAGCCATGCTGAGGTCGTGTCCCACGTGCAGCAACTAGAAGGATGTGCAACTATGACATACAACCATCTACTGGGGCTTTGGGGAGAAAAAGGAAAAAAGGAGGAGGATTGGCAATAGATGTTAGCTCAGGGCCAGTCTTGCTCAGCAAAAAAAGAGGAGGAGTGGCATGGATGTTAGCTCAGGGCTGATCTTTCTCACAAAAAAAAAAAAAAAAAAGCTTGGGCTCTACCATGTAAGCAGTAGGGGAGGGCTTTGATGGATTTTAAACAGGAGAGTAACATGGTTAGTTTTATGTTTTACTTTGGTGGTGCTTGTCAAACTTTAACATGCACACGAATCATCTGGGCATCTTGGCTTCTGATTCAGTATGTCACGATTCTGCATTTCTAAGAGCCTTCCAAGTGATGTTAAAGCTACTGATGTGAGGACCACACTTTGAGTAGCAAGAGTTTTGGATAATCGTTGGCTTCGAGTAGGTCTATTTGAGAGGCAAGAGTACTTGGAGGCAGGTTGTTATGAACTCAGGGAGGAATTCCCGGGAGCCAGGAGAGCTGTGGGGAGGCCTCAATAAAGGCAGGAATAGAAAGGAGGGATGGGGCCGGCCCTGTGGCTTGGTGGTTAAGTGCGCGCGCTGCGATGCTGGCGGCCCGGGTTCGGATCCCGGGTGCGCATCGAGGCACCACTTCTCTGTCCATCCTGAGGCCGAGTCCCACATACAGCAACTAGAAGGGTGTGCAGCTATGGCATACAACTATCTACTGGGGCTTTGGGGGCAAAAAATAAAATAAATAAAATCTTTAAAAAAAAAAAGGAGGGATGGACTACAAATACAGGAGGCAAAATCGGTAGCACTTAGGAAGAGTTGGACAGGGTGGGGTGGTTCCAGGTGAAGGAGAGTTCAAGGACGACTCCCAGTATCCTGGTTTTGAAGATTTTGACTTTTTTGTTACTTTGACTTCTTTTCATCACACCATCAACCCTGGGATCTGCAACCCACTGAAGGATAAGGTCAGAGGGGGGCAAAAAAATGTCCCCCCAAAAATGTATTGTAGACTTGAGACAGAATTTCTCCCAAGCATAATACTAGTTCCTGAAATGTCCCGTCAGCCAATAGGTCAGTCTAACCTAGAATGGACCATTCTCCTCTTCCTATTTCTTCATCGCTGAGCAATCTATTGGGGTCCCAGAAAAATGGCATGATTTAATACTGGTTCACGCTGCTATAATGATCTGACTGCTGGGACCCTTGAGTAAGCTCCTGCCCCTTTCTTATTCCCATGAGACTCAGGGCTGGAGTGGGGTTGGGGAGAATATCCTGGGATACCTAAGGTGGGGGAACTGAGCAGCCTGGATACTTGGTTCAGATCTGCCTACCTTCACTGTTTTGTGACGGAGCCAGCAGCCGCACAGCGTGATCCAAAGACGTCTGGTGGAGGGAAACCAGAGTCGGCTTCAGGTGGAGTCTCCCCTGGTGCAGGCCCCGACTCATGGCCAGGAGAGCAGGAGGCAGATGAGCAAGACAGAGATTCCAGCTCTTCTGGTCAACTGCAAGGTGAGAGGCCTCCAAGGGCACTGACTTTCATTAATCCTACCTGTGACTGGCTCACTTCACCCACTCTCCTTTCTGCTCTGGGTGGTGAGGGAAGGAGAGAGAGAAACAGCATCTTTCCCCCAAGCCTGGACCTAAAAATGGGATCCGCTATCTTCCTTCTCTCTGCCTCACCCATCTTCCCTCTGTGCAATTCCATCGGTCACCACCATTGCTCCCTTTCCTTTATCAAAGTATAATCTTTAAATGTGAATATGCACTTAAATGTGTAAATGCTGTTCAGTGTGCTCTACATATATGAATGGTGTGTGCATGTATGGATAATGCAACCCTCCTGGAAAAGGCTCATTGTTCCAAAGTGACGGCCTCGTCATCTCTAGGACCATTTAACCATCTAACCAACATTGAACTGTTCCCAATAAACACCCACTGCTCTTCTGCCACTGTCTTTGCTCAGTATTTCCTCTTCCTGTTCTCCAACCATTCTATGTCCACATTCTACAACCTTTTAAGGCCTCAAATGTTACCTCCTTCTTGAAACCTTTTCTGATTTCCCCAGTAAGAAATACCTTTCCTCCCTCTCAGCGTCTAAGGCACTTTACTCACAATCCTTCATAGACCTTAAAACTTTCCACTATACAGTAGTTACATTTCACTCCCCTTAGACTTCAAAGGAACAGCATCCATTGCTGTACCTTCCAGCAACACATCTATGCGTAGATGTTCAATAAATGTTTGGAATGAGAGAGCTAAATGCATTTGTGATATCTAAGTGTAAAACAAAACATCTGTGTGTATCCAAAAGAAAGTGCACTTGTCTTTGCTTCCAGTGGTGAACCTCTCAGTTATCCACATCCGAATTTCCTAACAAGGTGTCCTGGTCTTCTCATCCTTCCTTTATTCCTAACTAGATTTCTCCAATGGGGAAGACCTTAGCCTCCAAGAATCCTTCTAAATGAACAGATTTCCATTTCTGGTCAAATCGTTCCCAAACATACGGACTCACCACGTGCAGCTCTACCTCCTTTTTTGATTCCTTTATCTGAGCCACTTTTGCCCCAATTGCATGAGTCCCATAAAAATCACTCCATTTCTTCCCTTCACTCATTTCTGAAAGGGAACCATCAAAGGGTTGGGAAAGGTACAGGGTCAACCCCAACCCATTCTCCCGAGGACTCAGTGAACCCCACAACCCTCCTTCTCAGTGCCAGGACCAGGAGCTGAGGGTGGCCGTGGACACAGGCACCCGCCACAATCAGGTTTCCACCGGATGCCTCAGCCGCCTGGGGTAAGAGTGTGGCCGAAGAGGGGTGGGGGATGGGGCTTCTTTTGGGAGCGATGAAAATAGTCTGAAATTAGATAGGAGTGATGGTTGCATAACTCTGTGACTATACTAAAAACCACTGAACTGCACATTTCAAAGGGTGACTTTGACGGTATATGAACTTTATCTCAATAAAGCTGTTCTTTTTTTGTGTGTGGTGTGTGAGGAAGATCAGCCCTGAGCTAACATCCGTGCTAATCCTCCTCTTTTTGCTGAGGAAGACCAGCTCTGAGCTAACATCTATTGCCAATCCTCCTCCTTTTTTTTTCCCCCAAAGCCCCAGTAGATAGTTGTATGTCATGGTTACACATCCTTCTAGTTGCTGTATGTGGGACGCGGCCTCAGCATGGCCGGACAAGCGGCGTGTCGGTGCGCGCCTGGGATCCGAACCCGGGCTGCCAGTAGCGGAGCGCGCGCACTTAACCGCTAAGCCACGGGGCCGGCCCCTCAATAAAGCTGTTCTTTAACAAAGAGCTGGTAGGGGCTCTGGCAGAGGAGACAAGGATTTAGAACCCATGTGGGGCCAGGGATTGGCTGAGAACCCGAAGTGTGGTGTGGGGGGATGTTAGCTGACTAATGGGGTGGGGTGGGGGCTATGGTGGCCATAACCCTTGCTTCCCAACCACAGGTTAGGGAAGAGGGTCCTAAAAGCCCCAGGGGGAGCCCTGGCACCTGGGCCCCCAACCCAGGTGGAGCAGCTGGAGCTACAGCTGGGCCAGGAGACAGTGGTGTGCGAGGCCCAGGTGGTGGGTAAGTCCTCCCTTCATCAACAGTCCAGCTTCTCACTTCTTTTACCTTCCTCTCCTGGGTGGGGCAAAAGCAGAGACTTCCAGCCTCTGCCAGCACCAGAGAAGGTATCCCCAAAGATGTTCTGACTGTCCCCAATCCCTATGGCAATATTCTCAGACCTGGGGGTGGAGCGGGCAGAGAAGGGGCGAGTGTTGACAGGAGGGCAGCAGTGACAACCGGGGACCCTCTAGCCTCTTCTGTTTTCAAATGATTCCTGCAGACGTTGAGAGTCCTGAATTCTCTCTTGGACTGCAGACTCTGCTTTCTCTCAAGGTAAGGAGGATGCTAGCCATTGCACTCATACTTGGGCCTGATCCAAGGGCTGGGAAAGGAGGCAGGAGGCACCAGTGTGGAAGCAGGGGTCAGTTCTGATGAGAAGGACCTGGAGATGTACAATCTCCCCTTTGCTTTCCTAGAGGTTCCTTATTTGCCCACAAGTGAAATATATGGAGAACTGGTTTCCTCCCTGAAGGGTCCAGGTGAATGGAAATGGGGAAGAGCAAGGAGCAAGGGGGAGCTGTGGGAAGTGGGAGGGAACACAAAAGAGTGGGCTGGGAGAGAGGGACCTGCTGCAGTGAGCTCACAGTCCCCTCCACACCCCGCAGAGCTGTATCGACCTGGAGCACGGAGTGCTGCGGCTGAAGGACCCCTTCCCAGAGCTGCCCTTCCTGCCCTGGTACCAAGAGCCTGGCCAGTGACTGGTCCCAGTCAGTCCCTGGGGGAAGAGCTGTGTGGGGTTTGGGGGCATTACTAGAGCTGTAGCTGGGGACTACTGTCTGTTCCTTTTATCACCACTCTGGCCCCGCTGTCCCGTTTCCCTCAGTAGGCCACATTCCTCTCTGCTTCTCAGCAACTGCCCCATCCTCCAGGGGAGTTTTCACAAGGGAGAGCCCACAACCTTGGGGTTCCGGTTTCCCTGTTCTCTCTTATCCCCCCGCAAGTTGAGCAAAAGCAAGTCAGGACTGCAGAAAAGGACATCAGCAAAGCGGGATTCCAGGCTGGGCCCTCGGCACGGTAGGCACCAGCCTGAGTCAAGGCTGCAGCTACTGCTGTCCTCCACCAGTCCCCCGACTCCACCCCAAACACCCTCGACTGCCCTTACTCCCACGTCTCTTCCCTCACCTTCTGGGGCCTGTCATCTCCCTCAACCAGACTGCCAACCTCCCCAACCTGGGTCCCTGGCCCGGCCAGTGCCTGCCATTCTGATTCTGCACACATCTGCTCACAGCTGAATGGGGGAAGATATAGTAAACAGCATATTTTAACACAGCAAGGAAGGTGAGTTAGTAGAGGAATGTGCAGCTCACAGGGCTGGGAGCTCTTTCAGTTACCCTTTCTGGGGATGCACATGCCTGAAGCCAGTTATTATTTGATTACCCTGTGCAAAACCTTGGCTATCCCTCTAACATTCCTCCAGATATTTATCCTTCTCCACTTGCTTTTCACCTACTGGGCCCTGAACCTTGACGGTGTGTGTGGAAGAGCCCTGGAGAGAACCACCCCCACAAGGTGGACAGGATGGTGGTGTTGTCAGTACTCAGACGTAACCTGACCAGTACTCCTTATTTCTAGAACTATCCACCTCATCAGACCTTCTTCCCACTCCTCATCTCTGGCCTCCTGAGCTTGAGCTTGTTTTGTCTTGGAATCAGTGGCTCTCTCTCCCCTGCCAGGCTCTGAGCCAAAGCAAAGACACAAGGAGGCTCTGCTGACTGCATTCTGAAGACAGGAACCCAAACCTTAAGGAGCCAGACCCCTGAGTGTCTTTCTGGCTGGTCTGAGTCTCTTCAATCATGGATCAGGGGTAGAGGAAGATAGTGGTATAAACAGCCTGAACTAGGGAATGAGGACCCTTGGGCTGGAAACAAAATCTTGAGCCTGAGGTAGATCAGAGGACCAGGATGCAAGGAGCTGCTGCGTGACAGCTGGCCTTGGCTTTCTCAGCTGAGTCCCCTGCCCTCAAAAGGGGAGGAGAGGGGCTCACTATCTCACGTGTAATAGTGCCCTGGTCCCCCGCTCCGTGACCTCTGCTTTCCTAGGTCCCCTGGGCCTTCCCTCCACCTCCTGCCGCTTCTGTACTTGCAGACCCCAGCCCGACAGCAGGCCCTCAGCTCACCTGCTTCTCCATTTGAATAAATACCTGTCTCTCTATGCTGATGTCCTCCTCGGGTCTTCCTCCATGCCCATCAGAGACTGAATGATAACTCTGCCCTTAATCCCTAACAGAAAGGAAATGTGAACGTGGACCTTTCCCGGGCTGATCCATCTGGCTGGGGTCAATTGAGAGCAATGGCTTTCAAACTCCTTTGAACACAACTCATAGCAAGAAATATATTTTACACTGCACTCAGAATACACATACGCACATACACATACAATTATAACAAAACAGTACTTCCCTATACTGTGAGCAATATACTCTGGTATTTTCCATTCTATTCTATGCTATTCTACTTCATTTATTCTAAAAATACTGACCACGAGCCACCAAAAGATTGCAGCCTACAATTTGAAAAACACTGATTTATAGCACACACAATCAAGAGCAGAACAGAAATAAATGGCCAAGATATAATTCTGATTGTGGTCTGGATCATAAACCTGCATCAGATTTTAAATGTCTACTGTCTTATAGACAATAAGGTGTTTTTAGGGGAAATGGGGGCGAAGCCTACGAAGCTGCACAATACTGCAAGAACACGGCAAAATGTGAAAGTGCTGGCCCAGTTTCTTTTGTTAAACAGAGAAAAATTATCTCAGGGTTGCTGGGAACACAGTAAGACCAGACTAACACGTCCTGAAAGATCCTTCAAAAACAAAACAAATAGTCTGTCATTCCTGTAACAGTTACTAATGTCAACGACTCGGAGCTGTGCCATGGAAGACAGAGCTTGCGCGGCGTGGAGCCTTACCTCATTACTCCACTGGCTCCAGAGCCTGCTTTCCTTACAAGTGTTGGGGCTGTGCAAAAGATTTGTACTCCCTCCTCACAAACAAGTCTGTTTTCCACAGAACAAGAGAGGGGAGGTCTAGGGCGGGGGCAGTCCCAGACGATGCGGAATAAGGTCGGGGTCCTACGACCCTGCTGCTGTGATGGGTGCGGTACACAAGAAAACGGGCAGAGAGTCAACTTGTCTCTTCTCTCACCAAAAAGACCATAAGGTCTAGAGTTCACAGCCACCCTAGGGTTGCCACCATCCTTCCATGCTCGTCTGTAATGTGTATTCCCTATCCTGCCAATGCCACGGATACCTTGGGGGGTGGGGAGGTTCAGAAGGACCCGTCTTCAGCTAAGAGGGCAAGTCCAGCTAGGTGGGATCCTGGAGGGCAGGGGGAGCAGACTGTGGTGGCTGGTCTGGATGGTAGAGGGTTTGGTGAAGCAGGGCACGGGTGGCTGGGAGGTCGTCAGGATCTGAGGGCAAGAAAGGGCTGGTAAGAGGCTGTGGATCTCCTGGGCAGCTGGGCCACCGGGATTCTCCAGCCCCATGGCTTTCCTGGGACTCACCCACGCCCAGCTCCTGCAGCAGGCTCCGGTACTCTGGCTCAGCCTCCAGCAGTTTCAGCAGATTGGTAGACTCCATCCGTTCCAGCTGCACCTCCCAGTACACATAGATCTTCTGGTTGAACGTGACATACACCAGGCAGGGGCTGTTGCGGCCCTCTTTGCAGGCATACAGGCCTGGGAGGTGTGGGTGGTGAGACAAAGGGCAAGAAGTTTCAGTCCCAGTGGTGGCAGGGCGGAGAACAAGAGTGAGCATCAGAGTCAGCAGTTCTGACCCTCCCACAGACGTCAGCAGAAAACTAAAGGCCCTCTTTCTATTTCTTCTCTGTTGGGAACTCAGTAAAATAGGTAAAACAGTAAAATATCTGGCCTATTCCACACATTCTGCTAGTCAGAATAGCATCCAAAAAGGTGCTATTTGTTGATCTTCCCATCTTAGGGATAGCCCTGAAGTAATGAGGGAGAGTCTTGTTAGTCTGAGGGACAGATCAGCAAAACGTGATCAGAAACTAAGGCTTCTCGTAGGCAGCAATCCCTCTTCAAATGCATATCAACCTTTCAGGTCACCGGAGTCTGTATGCCAAAGCACTGCTCAACTTCTATCATTTCAGTAACCAAAGATATCCCCACATCACCCAAAAGAGTTTGTGGTGGTTTTCAAGGTCCCCAATTTAGAACTAATAAGGATGCCCTGGGAGAATGTTCTCCACACAGTTGTGACATAGTCAGATGGGAAAGAAATTTCTGATGTCTTCACACATCCGAGACAGATAGACGATAAGAACTCATCCCATTCTTTAAAACAGTCAGAGATGGAGACTTCACTATCTTTTATTTTCTCTTATTTAAAACTGTAAAGATGGCAGTTCAGTGCTATCCTCTAACAAAAGAGCCAAAGAATACATTTGTTTATGAAGATGTACAGTAGGGAATGCATTGAGAGTGGAAACGAGAGGCAGACAAGTGTGGTTGGAGAGGGGCCATGGGGCGGGGTCCCACCTGCACAGAAGGCTCGGATATTCTCATCCACCTGGAAGCGGACAACAGTGCGGTTGTGATCAATGATATACGTCTGTCCATCCCAGGCACAGGCAACTACCTCCTCATGCCCATTGCCCTGAAAAAGGCAGAGACAAGGATTGACTTAGACCTGTCTAAAGCGAGACTTAAGACAAAGGTTCAGAGTTAATTATGAAGTGAGAATGGCCTGATTTAAACCTCATCTCTCCATGTGAAGAAGGTAAGAATGTTCCTCTCCACCGGGCTTTCCACTCACCGTGATATCCAATTTCTCTAGGGCAAAAAGCTGGTGATCCACCTGTACTGACCACAACAACTTGTCTGCTTCCTCCATAAGCTTCAGCGTCCCTGCAGCAGCGGGCAGGCCAGGGGTGGGTGGAACAGGAGCTCTGAGCAGACCCCACAGGCATACAACCTCCCACCCCGGCACTGGCCCGTAGCCAACCCGGGGAACTCACCATCCAGGGTGCAGAGGGCAAAGAGGCCAGAGCCACCACTCTCAGGGTTGTGGCCTGCGGTAGGGGTGAAAGGCCCAGGAGAGAACGTGAAGCATGAGGTGAGATCAGAGCATATGGGGTGAGGCGCGGCCAAGGACAGGCAGGAAGGGACGGGACTAAAAACGAGGTACAGCCCTGCGTCTCCTCTCTCCCAGAACCGACATTTGCCCTTAGCTCCTCCCTCGCCCCCACCCCACCTTCACCTCGTTTGATGTTTCCAACGAGGTGAGTGGAGACATTCTTGTTATGGATGCGACCGGACGTCTGGTGCAGCACAACATCACGGGCAGCCGGGGTCTCCCTGTGGGCAGGAGGGCGGGAGGCTAAGTGGGAGACCAAATGGGCTCAGTTCTTTGGGACCTTTGTGGCCCCATCTCTGTAAGAGTTTTCAGGATGTGAATCAGCTTGGAAACCTATCACTGACCCCATCTGGCCCATGCGGCAAGCAGGAAAGAGGGGGATGGGGCTGCCTGGTTCGAGTCTTAGAACCTCTTCCAGGTGCTACAAGGTTAAAGCCAGGATTCCCCGGGGCCCCAAATAATCTTCCTTAATGGGGCAAAGGCATTTGTGCCGGACCTAGCTAAAGCAGCTCTGCCAACTTCTGACCCTTCCATGCCATGTGCACCCAGGAGCCCAGCTCACTTTCACGCACCCCATACCATCCGCAGGCCTGTATCCCTTACCTACTGCCCTCCGGGGCCCCGTCAGAGGTAGGGGGGTGCCCAGTGTCCTTGTTCCAGGTACACAGTAGAACTGCATAAGCACAGCCTGGCTGAGACACCATCAGTTCAGGAACACCCTGGGGCCCTGGAGTCACCGAGAGACTGTCCACCTACACCAGGGAACAGGGGCTTAGGGGGCTGGAGAGAGAAGGAAGTGGGGCCCTGCAGACAACAGGGGAGAGAGGCGGGTCAGGGGCCCGAGAAACAGTCCCTCAGACTTCGAGGGTAGCAGCGGAGGGAGAATTCTGGAGTTCACAAGGCTCCTGCCTGGGGCCATCCTCTCCACACCGGCCTGCTTTCCACCATGCATGCCTCAACTGGGTCCAGCCCTGATACAGACACGTCACACCCACCTTCACACTCCCGATCCTTAGCCCGGTGTTCCTTCCTCTTTGCCTATTATCAGCAATCTCCCCTAATTTGAAATTACCTTCTTTAGATCTCTCTCAATAAGATGATTTTCCCTCCTTCCTACCCTGTACCCTGGCCCACGACTGTTCTCCCAGAACCCCCTCCAGGAGGCCTTCCTCCCGGCTCCCTGGGCTCCAGGGTCCCCACATGCAGCCTCTCACCTGACCCTCCAGCATCCACTTCTTGAGGGACACCAGCTGCCCTGTCAGATGCTCTGTGCCCTCGCCCAGATCTTCCCAGCGGAAAGCCCGCACCACACGGTCTGTGTAACCTACCAGCAGCTCGCAACATCCATCTCCATCTGTGGATTCAGATCATAAGACAAGTTTGGAGCCGAATCTGAACTCATCAGCTTGAATCCTACAAGCATCCCCTCCCCACTCCTCTGCTAACATCACCACCGCTGGCACCTTTACCCAGTGTGACTTCAGGCCCAATCTGATGTGCGAGCCACCTCACACACTCTGAGCCTGGGACCTGCACCCCTGCCTTCCTTGTACTTAGAACACTGCACCCACCCATCTGCTCTACAGGTCTCATCACTTCTTCCCTCCTACTTCTTCTCTCAGACGCACAACTTGAGGGACCTGATTCATTCCACATACCAACCACCACCTTCAAGACAGCTTCTGGCCCAAATATCAGCCCTGTATCTGCACGGCTTACTCCCTCGCCATCTTCAACTGTTGATCAAATGTCACCTTCTCAGCAAGGACTTTCCTGAGAACTCCATTTAGAACTGCTCCCTCGGCCGGCCCTGTGGCTTAGCGGTTAAGTGCGCGCACTCCGCTGCTGGCGGCCCGGTTTTGGATCCTGGGCGCGCACCCTCGCACCGCTTCTCTGGCCATGCTGAGGCCGTGTACCACATATAGCAACTAGAAGGATGTGCAGCTATGACATACAACTATCTACTGGGGCTTTGGGTGAAAAAATAAATAAATAAATAAAATTAGAACTGCTCCCTCTACCTCGACATTCTCTAGCTCCTTTCTGTGATTTATTTTCCCCATGGCACTTACTATCTTCTAATATACTGTTTAATTTTCTTACAATATTTATATTCTTTATTTTCTGTCCTTTTCTAGTAAACGGCCAAGAGGGCAGCGATTTTCGTCTGCGTTATTCATTATCATGATCTCAGTGCCTAGAATTATTGTAGGAGGTCAGTAACTCGATAGTAGGTGCATAACAAACGCACAGATGAATCCTGACTCCCCCCGCCCTGCCCTTCAGCCAGTCCCTTGGGATCTGCTCCATTACTCATTGACTCCTATTCCCCCAGCTGCCCGCAAAGACAGCCATGCCCACCGATGTCGCTGATCAGCATGACCTTGGTGTTGGCAGGGATGTGCTGCTTGAAGACAGGACGCTGCTCCTCTCCCATTAGTGTTTCGTGGTGCCCAGAAGCATCCAGGGCCTTGGCAGGCGTCAGGTCACACAAGTGAAACCAGCCTTCAGCACTCACTGCCACCACGAGGTTCTGGGAGAGACAGAGGTACAGGAGAGAGGGACTGGGGAGAGAAGTGTGGGCACAAGCCTGACTGCCAGAGCACAGAGGTCAAGGTTGAAGCCTTTAACTCTCAACTGATTTCCACCTTGAGACAGGGATCAACATAAGGCGTTGGAGTTATACCCAAGTCCCAAGAGTCCTTACCTTTCCTTTATTACATACATCTCCAACCCCAACGCAGGTCAGCTGCAAAAGAAGAAAGAGGCTCAGGGAGACAGTGAGGAAACCCAGTGCTCCCTAATCTCTGTGAGGGAGCGGGTTTTCTAATTACCATCATTCACTGAAAACTTGTGCCACGTGACCTACATTGATAGTCTGCAGTAATTGAGTTATTATGCTATAGGTTCAGTTTACCCAGACAGCAACATCAAGACCTGAAGTAGTTAAGACAATCTGGGCCGAAAAAAACAAACAAAAACTCTATATCTAATATAGCCAGACCAGCATATTTCTAGATTTATTCAAATTATTGCCCCTATTTTCTACTATACTTTATAAGATCAGACCAACTAGGCAGTTTCCATAAAAAGTACTAAGGGAGTCACTCCCCAACATAAAATAAAAAACAACCCCGCTTTGTGAGTGTGTGTGTGTGTGTGTGTGTGTGTGTGTGTGTGTAACAGATGGGGGAGCACTGCCTGGGGGCTTCCCCGTCTGAATCAAATGCACCGAGGACCAGTCGCTGGGCTAAGTAGAGTAGCTGGTGAGTCAGGACACACTGGTGAGCTCCTGTGTGGGACTCACTCTTGCCAGTCCCTGGACACAAGGGTCCCTCCTTCCCCACTGGAGCCCCAGGGAGTTGCATACTGACCATTCCCTGGCAGGAACAGGTGAGCCATGGCCGGCTGTCATCATTCTTATACACAGACAGCTTTCCACTTGTGTCTCCCACCACCAGTTCATTTAACTTCAAACGGAGAGAGAAGGGAGTTTTAGGATGGGATCCTGCTGAAGCTATGCAAGCTCCTCTCTGCTGGGCCCATCCTGGGCAAATCACAAGACCTCGACTTGTATCTTCATCAACTTTATTAAAAATCTTTTGCAACCAACACAGCCATGGTTTCCCAGGGTTTCTTTATTTCTGTTTAGGGTTGTGTGTGTGTGTGTGTGTGTGTGTGTGTACTGGGGTCAGGGGAGGTTAGAAGAATGGGGCAATCTATGATTCATCCCAAAGAGTCTGACATCTGAACAGCTCAATGCCCCACATACCTCACTTTGGCTCTTCTAATTTGTCCATTACAAATGGGACACGTTTTGAAAACAACCCCAAATATTTAACTTTTGGAGAATTTAACTTCAGACCTTGTACTTAATCAGGGACTAAATAAAAAGGCAATGTCAGGGGCTGGCCCGCTGACGTGGTGGTTAAGTTCACGTGTTCCGCTTCGGCTGCCCGGGGCTCGCCGGTTCAGATCCTGGCCGCAGACCTACGCACCGCCCGTCAAGCCATGCTGAGGCAGTGTCCCACATAAAGCAACTAGAAGGATGTACAACTATGACATACAACTATCTACTGGGGCTTTGGGGAGGAAAAAAGGAGGAAGATTGGCAACAGATGTTAGCTCAGGGCCAATCTTCCTCCAAAAAAAAAAAAAAAGCCAATGTCAGCTCTGGGGACCCCCCTTCCGCTAGCAAGACCTTTTGATCTTGGTGTGTATGAATGAACATACAGGGGATGGAGGGGATGGAGGTGCCGGAGGGGACAGCATCCATGCTCTGGGCCTCTGGTGCCCTCAACTGGTGGCTAAGCTCTCAGGAGGGGAGGCTCCCTGCATGGAGCCTTTTCTCCACTATTTATATCTGGGTACTCCATTTCCCCGGGGATCCCCAAAGGCTGGCTACCCTTTCCAGGGGCTAATGATGACAACGCGGTGGCTCCAAACCCCATTTCCACAAATAGCTTCATGATTTCCCCTAGGGGGACATCCAACACCCCCTTCCTGGTCTCAAAATAGAGTGAATATTAGATTCTCAAGAGATTTAATACTAAAGGCAACAAAGACATAATAGATCAACAGTAAGGAAAAGTTAGAAATGAACTGGGATTTATTAATAATGATTTACTTGATGTGAATCTTAGATTTATTATTTTTTAATAGTTATGGGAGTTTCTGGTGGGACTATTAGATCATACAAGCTTATTTACGTTAAACCCTCCATACCTGGTATTTCAATTACGGCTGCCCAGGAGGACTTCTGCAGACACACGTGGGAGAGGCAGCATAGCAGAGGTTCAGAGTGCAGGTGCCTGGATTTGAATCCAGCTCTCTGTGCCTAAATTTTTTCATCTATAAAACGAGGATCATAAGAGTATCTACCTCATAAGGTTGCTGCGAGAATTGAGCTAACAGAGGAGAGCATTTAGAACAGTGACTGGCATATAGTGCGCACTAAAACCAGGTCGTTTTCAGCGTCTAGTTAAACGCCTCCAAGGCTAGGGATCTTAGCATCTTTCATACAATCCATTCTTTTTTTTTTTTTTTTTTTTTTCCCCCAAAGCCCCAGTAGATAGTTGTCTGTCATAGCTGCACATCCTTCTAGTTGCTGTATGTGGGACGTGGCCTCAGCATGGCCGGAGGAGTGGTACGTCGGTGCGCACCCGGGATCCGAACCCGGGCCGCCGGCAGCGGAGCGCGCACACTTAACCACTAAGCCACGGGGCCAGCCCCATTCTTGTTTTTTTAATACATTCATTCAACAATGCCATAGTCCATAGCAGGCCCTCAATAAATGTTTACTTAATAGAAAAATAACAAAAAAAATTTTTTTTTAAGAAACAAAGAAAAATCAGTCAGCCCTTGAGTTTTCAGGTAAAGCTGGACAACCAGTTAGGGTACAGAGAAGGACCTCACGGTTTTAAATTTTTTTTTTTTGTGAGGAAGATCAGCCCTGAGCTAACATCCATGCTAATCCTCCTCTTTTTGCTGAGGAAGACTGGCTCTGAGCTAACATCTATTGCCAGTCCTCCTCCTTTTTTTCTCCCCAAAGCCCCAGTAGATAGTTGTATGTCATAGTTGCATATCCTTCTAGGTGCTGCCTGTGGGACGCCACCTCAGCATGGCCGGAGAAGCGGTGCGTCGATGAGCGCCCGGGATACAAACCTGGGCCGCCAGTAGCCCAGCGCGCGCACTTAACCACTCAGCCGCAGGGCTGGCCTCAGGACTGGCCTCAGGACCTCATGGTTTGACAGCGGCACAGACACAGGAATAAAATCATAAACAGTGCGGCGAGTGCAGTGAGCAAGTAGACGTGACTCAGCCAAGCAGAGAGTGCGGCAATGGCAGGCGTCCTGGAGGAGGTCAGTTCCAGGGTAGCCCATCTGCTCTCCAGCAGTTATAATGCTTCCCAGCAGGTCTGCTTCTCTATGGTTGATCCTGGGTCTGGCCTCTGGAGGCTACTCAGTGACACTAAAGAAGTCCAGCTGGAGAGTACACTATTGGTCAGAAATGCTGAAGCAGAAGGGAGGCGAGATCTTTCTGTGATCCGCTTCAGCCTTCTAGAGACTTCCTCTCCCCTGGTTTAGCCAGGCTTCGCTGGGCAGCCCTAGAGGGTGTGGATTCTATTGCTGGTTTCTCCCTCTGACTTAGCAGGAAATCAAATAGTTTCAAAGAACTTTAGGCTAATGGTTTAATAGGAAGAAATAAATCTTTTTCCTGCCTCAAATCGCCAAATGCTGGCCTGGGAAATGAATAACAAAATTTCTGTCCACGCACATGCAGGCTGAGTGCACCACACCTGATCACCAGCCAGCTATCTCAACTGCCTGCTCTTCTCTCAGTTATATTTATCAATAACAGACAAAGCCCTTCAAATTGCTTTGAGACATATCATCACATTTGCTTTTCATAATAATCCTCATTTATTCAATAAACATTTATTGCGTGCCTACCATGTGCCAAGCACTATTATAAGTGTTGGGAATACAGCAGTGAAAAAAGAGATAAAAAATTCCTATCATTATGGAGCTTACAGAAATGGAGCTTACAACTCAGGTTAAAAAAAAAAAGATAGTATAATGTACCTAATATTGTAGAACTGAGTGTGTAATAGTGCAATTCACTTAGAAAAGTACAATTTCCAAAAGACCTGGGGTTATGAAGCTATGAAAAAAGGCACGTATGTTTCTTTTAAACAAAGATAATCAGATAAAATGGAAAATAATGCACATCTAAAGTCATTTTGTGGGCCGGCCCCGTGGCTTAGCGGTTAAGTGCAAGCGCTCCGCTACTGGCGGCCCGGGTTCAGATCCCAGGTGCAGACCGACGCACCGCTTTTCCCGCCATGCTGAGGCCGCGTCCCACATACAGCAACTAGAAGGATGTGCAACTATGACATACAACTATCTGCTGGGGCTTTGGGGAAAAAAAGGAGGAGGACTGGCAATAGATCTTAGCTCAGAGCCAGTCTTCCTCAGCAAAAAAAAAAAAGAGAAGGATTGGCATGGATGTTAGCTCAGGGCTGATCTTCCTTGAAAATAAATAAATAAATAAATAAATAAAGTCATTTTGTTAATTTACTATTTAAAAATGCCTCCCTTGATTATCTCATAAAATTGTACTGCTTGGCATATGAAGAAATGTGAAAGCCCAGAAAACGTAACACAAATTTATGAGAATAACTTTTTTCTCCCTAGAGAGAGTAGGGGGTTGAGCAAAAGAGGCCTCATAAAATAGCTTCTCCACCACAGCACAAAGGAGGCTGAGGGGCAGGAGTTGGGGAAGAGAAGAATGTTTTAGCCTTGGTTTTTTCCAGGGAAAAGAGAGCACAGAACAGTCAGGGAGGTGGGGCAGAGGATATGAAAGGAGGGGAATAAGGTGCTTTGTATTAACAATATGAAATAGAGATAATGAATGAAAAAAAGTCTGGAAGAAAAGAGGGCCTCAGACCATCAACAGCCCTCATTCCCTTTGATGCTCCACCCCAGGACCCTTTACATATTTTAATCAATGCACCTCATTCCATTTTGTCATTCTGGTAACCATCACCCCACCTGATTATGAGCTACCTGAGGGCTGGGACTGTCTTGTTCATTTTTGAATTCCCAGAAAGTGGCAGAGTCCTTGGCACAGAATGGGCAGTTCAATAAATATTTGCAGAAAAATAGAATCAAATACTAACAACGACGCCACCAGCACTCACTGAGCGCTAACAGTGCGCCGGGCAGGGCTCTACCTGCTCTACCTGTATTCATTCATTTAAACGACGAGGAAGGCAACGACCGCTGAGGGAAGAAAAGGCAGATGGAAACTGCTTTCCTAAGTCAACCAAGGTGTAGCGCTTTAAAATGGGCACACACCCGCGCGCACTTCGGAGCAGGCACTACGGAAACACGACTTCGTTAGGATTGGGGTGGTGGGGGCATCTGTTGCCCCGGCCGGAGGAGCTCAGAGCCCACAGTCGGGAGGCAAGGCAGAGAAGCAGAGCAACGCGTGCTCGCGCAAGGGGCCGAGCGTGAGAGCAGCAGAGGTGCGTCTGAAGCCTATTCTGAGGCTCTAAAACGTCAAGTGCTTTGAGAGGTGATGGCCCGGGAGGAAGTATAACGATAGAGTGAACCAGGAAATGTGGCCACCCGAGTTGACTAGGCTCCGACTGCGAGAAGTCACTGAATTGGTTACAGGACCACTTATCCATCAGCCTAGAAGAATACCAGACCAGGGCACCTGACCAACGCAGGCACAACGTCCAGAGACTTCAGCTGTTATCAAGTTCTCCCCGAATCCCCACCACCACCACCACGCCAGCCCCCGCGCATGCGCGGCGTCCACGCCGCACGCCCCGGGCGGCCGCCTCACTTCCCGGCCCCGCCCCGGGCCCGCGCGGACTGCTGCGTCTCGTCTCTCGTGGTGCGCATGCACTGACCGTGTCGTTATCCACGTCTCCGAGGCAGATGGCGTGTGGGAAGAGGCTCCCGCTGAATTCCAGGGCCACGCGCTGCACGTAGCTCACCGACTTCATTGCACTTCCAAGGGCTTAGGGACCGGGAGCTCCGCTAAATGTCCCCCGAGCCCCTCCCCACAGCCGGCGAGCGGAAGGCCACTCAAAGCGGAAAGTTACGTCAACACCCGAGCCCCCAATCCCGGCCTTCCTCGCTTAACCCGAGAGGAGGCGGGTCTTCCGAGCCCTCTGGGCGTGGGCGGGCGTGCCCGCTACTGACATGAGTGACAGGGGCGCGGGCCACTCCTTTTCTGCGGAGGGCTGGAGCGAGGGCTAGACCAACCCTGATGGGAGCGAGCTGTTCCCTTGGCAACAGGGCCCCTAGGGCTTGACCTAATAACCTCGACCTCTTCCTTTGTTACCCTGGGAATGAAGATTCCCAGCCATCAGACTGTCCCTGAGAATCATAATAATCGTAATGACTGACAGTTGTATGGTTTCCAAAAGTGTTTTTTTAAACAACTATGTAGCTACCCATTAGGGCTCGTGAAAACAATGTAGTGAATTGAACCAGCCTGTAAAAAAATGAAACAGAATAGTATAGAAAATACCAGTGACTGTTGAGTAGTAAGGTAAGTATTGTTTTTGTGAAACCTTTGTTTCAATTGTATATATTTATATGTGTATATACTGGCTTATCATGTAAAAAAGATATTTTTTTACGGTGTGTGCGCTTTGTGACCAGGAGTTTGAGAACCAGTTGCCGCAAAGCACGTTTCACATATATTATCTCATGTAATTAGCACAACAACGCTGTGAGCTTGTATTATTATTCCAGTTTTTTGGATGAGGAAAACAGGTTCAGCAAGATTAAGTAACAAGGCAGAAAGTGGCAGAGGTGGGACTCAAACCAGGATTATTTGATCCCAACCACTATGTCCTTTCTATCATGTACTGCCATGGTTCCTAGGCAAGTCCTCAGGTTAGAAGTCAGGGTTACTGAAATTCTGGACCTGCTCTGCCCTGTGGCCCCCTGCACAAAGCTCTTGCCTCCTTCTCTCAGTGGCCTTATCTGTAGTGTAAATGGGACATCACCGTCATGGCTGGCCTCTTAGGGAAACTTCCCATGTTGAATGAGTCCAGCCTTTCTTTGGGGCGTCTCAGCAATCAGGGCATCAAAAGTATTATTTGTGAGGGGCCAGCCCCATGGCATAGCGGTTAAGTGCAGGCGCTCTGCTGCTGGCGGCCCCGCCTGGCGCCGGTGCGTACCAATGCACTGCTTGTCAGGCCCCATATAAAGTGGAGGAAGATGGGCATGGTGTTAGCCCAGGGCAAGTCTTCCTCAGCAAAAAGAGGAGGATTGGCATGGATGTTAGCTCAGGGCTGATCTTCCTCACCAAAAAAAAAAAAAGTATTATTTGTGAAATTCTGCAGCTGCTCCATGCATTCTAAGGTTTAGGTCTGCAGGCCAAGGCTGATTTACACATTGGTCTTTCAGGAGTCAACACTGTGAAAATAAGGATGTCCACCTCACCTGGGAATGTTGGACCAAGGGCTGGTCCTGCTTTCTAAACGTAATGGGAGAAGGTGCTGGAGGGCAGGATCTTTTTGCCTGGGAGTGAGAGAGGGGGGTGGGACATCTTGTCCTCGAGGTCCCAATGGATCTGATGGCCAGTTAAGATGAGAACAAGGAATAGCAGGTCAGAACAGCAAACAGGAGGCAGTTTAGACAAATACTGGGGACTGCCGATACCTTCAACTTTCCGTTTCTGGTGGTGTACTGTGGGGTTGGCCAGGTCCATTCAAAGGCTCTGGGTCACACAGGTGTACCTGGTGCTTTAAATACGTTGTCTCCTTTACGGAGGGGTTGCATGCTACCTCATCCTGTTCCACCACATCTCTTTTCTCTCACCCTAGCTCAAATCCTAAGCTTCATATTAGATTTCAAGGAGTGGAAAAACAAAAGCCAATTTTAAAATGTTTACCTCTTTTTTTTAAATAATTTTATTTATTTATTTTTTCCCCCAAAGTCCCAGTAGATAGTTGTATGTCATAGCTGCACGTCCTTCTAGTTGCTGTATGTGGGACGCGGCCTCAGCATGGCCGGAGAAGCGGTGCGTCAGTGCGCGCCCGGGATCTGAACCCGGGCCGCCAGCAGCGGAGTGCGCGCACTTAACCACTAAGCCACGGGGCTGGCCCAAAATGTTTACCTCTTAATGTAAAGTTAAATAGTTTTGAATTGTTTCTTTTCACTGTATTATTTCTCCATTGTTTTCTTTTTCCAGCCCTTTGAAAGAAATTGTAAAATAAATAAATTAATAAATAACTAAGGACAAAAGAGTTGAAGATCACCCTGCTGCTGTCACCAAGTGCCCTGGCCTGACCCAGTTCTCTGAAGTCATACCCTGACCCAGCACTCCACAATGCCTTAGTTTTATCTTCCTCATCACTTGTGCTTCTTGTTCTTGACCTTTCTGTGCCATGAGGTGCCTGTGTTTGTTTGTTCTGTGATTGCCGTGAAGCTCATGTCATTATGATCACAACTTGGATACCATGCATTTTGGCTTTTGTTAAGAGAGCCAAAAAAAGTTAGAAAGGGAGGAAGGATAGGTCTCCAAGAAATATGGCATGAATCAAGTCTTTCCATTTCTTTTTTTTTTATAATTATGTATGTATTTATTTTTCCCCCAAAGCCCCATTAGATAGTTGTATGTCATAGCTGCACATCCTTCTAGTTGCTGTATGTGGGACGCGGCCTCAGCATGGCCGGAGAAGTGGTGCGTCGGTGCGCGCCCGGGATCGGAACCCAGGCCGCCAGCAGCGGAGTGTGCGCACTTAACTGCTAAGCCACGGGGCCAGCCCAAGTCTTTCCGTTTCTATGCCTCTCCCCACCTCACATCAGTTACTTTAACTGCATTGAATGTTACGTGCACGGTAAAGGGAACACAGGATTGGCATTGCAGAACCCTGTGGACAGATCCCTGGCTCCACAAGGAACACCCCTGTTCTTGGCCCTTTCTAGTGGGATGGTTGGTGGGTCTCCACTGGCACTATCTAGAGCTGGTCTTGTTTAAGCCAAGCCCTCTTTCAGCATAGGTTTTGGCTTACTCCTCAGAACTGCCTAACCAGGCCATCTTCCTGGTGAGATGACATGGATACAGTTGTGTGGGTGGCGTATTCTTTACAAACCAGCCAAACAGTAGTTTCATTAGAAACCTGCTATGGGAGAGGATGGGAGGAGGTGTTAAGTGGGAAGCATTTCTAGGGGGATTCTTTGTACACTTCTTCCTCCAAGAGTAGACAGAGAGGTGGGGTCCTATCCAAGTTCTGTCTGCCTAGGATGCCCAGGTAAGAAACAGGACCTTTAAAGCTCTTTCTACACGTGAGGCCCAGAGCCACTCCCGTCCTGGGGGTAGTGTCTAGGGCTTCCTCATTCCCCTTCCCTCTCTAATTCACAGTGCACCTTAGCATATCAAAGGTTCTGAGAAGTCATGAAGTACAGAAACCTGTTTCTCAAACTAACTTGACCTAGAAATTAGGTAGAACAAGTGTGGGCAGCCCTGCTCTGAGTGAACTGCTCTTCCTCAGAGCTCTACTTTGAGTCCCACCCCTTTCCTCACAAGTTTGGCCCTATCAGAAAGGACCACCAACGCTGTAAAGCTTTGATCCTGGAACCTGGATTGCTGTCTGGTCAAGACTCTACTGGCCGTTAATTGAAGGGTGAAGAGTAGTTCCTCATTGTCACTGAAGTCCACGTGAGGAAATGGGCTTAACACACGAAGGATGACGAAAACGTGTTAGAACTAGAGAGGTGGTGGTTGCGAAACATTGTAATTGGACTAAATGCCACTGAATTGTTCACTTTAAAATGTTTTTTTTTTATAATTTTATTTATTTATTTTTCCCCCCAAAGCCCCAGTAGATAGTTGCGTGTCATAGCTGCACACCCTTCCAGCTGCTGCATGTGGGACGCGGCCCCAGCATGGCCGGAGAAGCTGCGTGTCGGTGTGCGCCGGGATCCGAACCCGGGCTGTCAGCAGCGGAGCACGCGCACCCAACCGCCAAGCCATGGGGTCGGCCCCTAAAATGTTTTTTATGTTATGTGAATTTCACCTCAATAAAAAAAGTACAAACGGAACCATTTATGTGTGAAGCACTTCTAACGGTGGAACAGGAGACTGGAAATCCTAAGGAGCACACGTGTCCTGGGGGTGGGGGATAGGATATGGCTGGTCCCTTCTACCAAAGAACTCTCAAAGTTCATGAAGGCATTGCCCTTTTTTGATGGTTCCTCCTCAGAACCGTGTTGTGAATCTTTCATTCTTACTTTGCCTCCCAAATTGGTGTATTTAGTGTTGTTTGTTACATGCTAAATAGAGTTTTATGATGATTCTTAGATTTTATAATTGAGGCTAGTTGATGCATCCGTTATCTGAGGTTGGCAAGCACCTGGGAACCACAGCCATGAAGTCCGCAATGATTTCCAGAAGGAGGACAAGTTTTCCTGGTAGACTGTCTTTGAACTCCTACGTTGGCTTTATTCAGCACTGCACTTGGCCCACTGTCATTTCATCTTAAGGGTTACAAGGCTCTGAGGCAGTCTGCATTTGGAAAAGGAAGATTAGTCATTGAGACAGAAGAGAGGAATAAGGCGGGAGAGGTTCCACTGTTTCTTTTAATTCTTGATTTTCCAGTAATAGTTTTCTAAAAAGGTACTATTTCCTACTAGTCCTGCCTGAGATGTCCTTCACATATTTCTCCAACTGAAATGAGATAACATACTTCACCCCCAGCTTTTACTCGCAGGGTGCTGTGGCTGGTGTAGAGTGAGGGGAGTCCAGTGCAGTGATGCTGGTAGGGCAGGCTGCGCCAGGCCTTGCACGGTTTTGTGGGCCACGAGAGATCCTGATCTTCAACTTAAATGGGTTGGGAAGTCATGGACAGGGTTTTAAGCAATTGGAAGGATACAATTTGGGTGCAGTGCAGGGTGAGGTGCAGGTGGGTCAAGGGGTAACGTGAGAGGAACTCTCTGCAGACAGGAGGTGCATGGGGCTGTTGGGGAGGGGCTGCTAGGATGGAGACTGGAAATACTTAGAGGAGATAAAATTTATAGAACTTGATGTTTGGACCAACACTAAGACAGGATAAACCCTATTTTAATTTTTCCAGAGACAACTTGCAAAACTGCAGTAATGGCTAACAATACTGGTTGCTACCAGTTTTCCTTATTCAAGCACATTCTCTCCATATGGAAAGATTTGTTGGTGAGGAAGGTGCATCTGACTGGGAAATGAACTTAAGCATTGACCCAGAGCAGAGTGGAGTTATGTGGTGAGTTTATTTTTAACCTTAAAGACTTCTAGTCACTTTAATAAAACATCCTCACAAGACAGTTTTAATGTTACATAAACCAAGGCCTGTCTAGCTCCAGGGTTCTACAGAAGTGCGGTTATGGTTTAAATTCTTGGGATCCTACAGAAGCACTCAGAGTGGGAAGGAACCTTAGGAGTGCTTTTTGCCCATCTCCGTATTTTTGCAGATGAGGAATGGGGCTCAACTTGCCCAAGGTCACATGAACTTCATGGCAGTTTGGATTTTTTCAAGAGATCTCACGTTCCAGGCAGACCTTCTTTCCATTTAACTTCCGACCCTTGTGTCATCTGTAAAATGGGGTGATACTTAATCTGCACGTGGCTCTTGGTTTAGTGCTAGGCTTATATCATGTTTAATGAGGGTTAGGGATTATCACTGGCTGCAGGGGCAAGTCTCATCTTAAGATAGCAAAGACCCAGACACAAACCCCAAGGAAGACTATGGTGTGAACCCAGCAAGAGAGCAAGTAGGGACTCTGGGAGACTACAACACCCAAATTTTAATTCTGGCTCCAGCACCAGTCATCCTGTATGACTTGGTGGAACTTTTTCACACAGAAATTAATCTTCCACAGTAAAAGCATGGATAAGTTTCTTCTGGGGGGAACTGTACAGGAATATGGGTAGGCAAACTAGCCTTGTCACTGTGCAGGAAGGAGGAGAGCGCCCAAACAGGAGAGGAGGAGGACAAGGGCATAGATCTAGGCTCTGGCCTGCAGCCAAGATCATCTGGAGAAGGCTGAGTGACTAACTTGTGCCCCTTGGCTTCTCCCAGGGCCCCATAATGCTACAGGAGTCAAGGGTCAAAGCAGAGTTAGAAAAAAAGCATGAGCTTTTTCCTGTTCTGAGGAGGAAGCTGGGAAGTGGGCCTGAGCGAGTGCCAGTGTTCCCTGGCTGGACAACTGTCCTTCCTTAATTGGGGAAGGTGTCTGACAGGTTAGTGAGGCCAGGGATTTTACCTTCAGAAACCAAGAGAGCTTGTGCTTTCTACTGATCAGTTAGGCAGAAGTCTAACTTCAAAACAAACACGAGTGGTCCTAGTATTTTAGATGTTTATACTTTCCTAAGTGTTAGGAAGAAAACCAGAGCTACTAAAAATGGCCCGACTGCTAGGGGAGGGAGTGCTACGATCCCACAGCCAGGCTTTACCACAGGCTGGGCTGTAGTCGGTGCAGTGCCCAGGACACCCTGCAGGGCAGCGCTGCTCCCTACTCAACCACTGCCATCTTAGCTGCGCATTTTAAGCTGGACTGGGGACCAGGTGGGTGACTCCCTTAATTTTGACCCCTGCTCATAGTGTACCCACCCACACCCACCCTCTGAGGCCAAACAGAAAGGGCTGCCTGACACCCAGGTTTTATTGTTTCCACTTTATTGCTCAAGCATGGAACTTGAGGATGGCCTGGGCCTTCAGCAACGTGCAAAGAGGCTGAGGGGGGTGGGGACATGACCTGGCCGAGAAGGGAAACCGACAGGAGGGGAAATACTGAAAGGGGGTACAGAGGGTGGTCACCATGACACCAGAAGACATCATCAGCCACACCATCTGGGGTGAGGAAGGGAACAGAGAGCCGTCACGGGCACAGCAGTGGTTTTTCCCATGCCCCTAGCACCCACACGGAGGCCACATGTTTGGAAACGAACGGGGGGAGGAAAGGGTGAGGAAAATGGCTGCCCAGGAGTCGCCCTCTCCACCCTGGTTTCACAGCAGACACCATATCCCTACCACTCGCCCCCTTCTACCAGCTGAAGAACAGACACAGCAAACAGAGGAAGCAAAATAAATTAACATTCTGATGAGTGTGCACGTGGATGGACATTCGTTCAGCGTAATGGGGGAAGGGAAGAGAGGGTGCCACCTAAAATGATCCCCCACCTTAATCCCCTAGCCTGCTCCTTTCCCCCTTCCCCCAAAGCCACCATCCAACCAGATAGAAAAATAAAGGTCTAATTCGCTCAAAATTCTTCAGTTTTTACAAAACTAACAGGGTGGAGTAGGGTAGGGAGCAGGGGAGGCAGGCAGCCGCAGGAGCAGGGCTGGGGAGAGGCTATGCTTCTGTCTCCACCTGAGACTGGCTCCCTGCCACATCATTCTTCTGTTCGTCCTTCATCTCTGTGTCAGCATGATGGTCTCCTGCAGCTACTGCTGCCTTGGCCTGCAAAAGGGAGAGGGAAAGGAAGGGGATGAATTCCAGATCTCATTCGGCCAGGTCCCTCTAACAGGAAAGGCGACTCTTACTCCACATCCCTACTCTCACCTGCCTGCACCCAACGGATCTGGTGACACACCTATATTCACCCAGCACACTGACACCATGTATGGAGGGTCTATACCCACAAATATTCACCCCCCCAAGTCAAAAAACATACACATTAACTTCTCACAGAATTACATAGGCACACAAATGCCCTTTCTAGATATGTCCTTGAAAATACACCTGCACGTGTCCAGAATCAGGAATTTATAAGATTGCGATACTGTTTAGAACTGCACTTGTCCAACATGGTAGCTACTACCATACATGGCTACTGAGCACTTTAAATATGGCTAGTTCAAATCGATATGTTTTAAGTATAAAATACACATTGGATTTTGAAGACTTAGTCTGGGAAAAAAACATGAAATTTTTTAAAGTTACATGTAATATTTAGATACTTTGGGTCAACCAAATATTAAGATTAATTTCACCTGTTTCTTTTTACCTTTTTAACACAGCTACTAAAAAATTTAAAATTATACATGTGGTTTGCATTATATTTCTATTGGACAGTGCTGGTTTAGAACAATGATAGACTATTAGGAGACTGGTAAGTAAGCTATGATATAGCCATACAATGGATTCTATATAAGCATAGGAAAGAATGTGAAAGCTCTTTTATTTATATGTTGATGTAAAATAAGCTTTCTGGTATGACATGAAGAAAGTGTGGTATAGAAAGTAATAGGTAGAGTGTGTTGCCTTTTATTAGGGAAAACGGAGAAAACGCAAACCTGTCTGCTCGCGTGTGTATACGGCGTACTGGAATGACAGAAGAACTGGTAGTACAATCGCTTCTGATTGCAAGGGAGACTTTTTACTACATATTCTTTGTGCAGTTTGAATTTAACTATGTAAATATATTACCTATTTATTTATTTTTGTGAGGAGGATCAGCCCTGAGCTAACATCCATGCCAATCCTCCTCTTTTTGCTGAGCAAGACTGGCCCTGAGCTAACACCTGTGCCGATCTTCCTCCACTTTACATGGGACGCCACCACAGCATGGCATGACAAACGGTGTGCATCGGCGCACGCCCAGGATCCGAACCCGGGCTGCCACCAGCAGAACGCGCGCACTTAACTGCTATGCCACGGGGCTGGCCCCCTATATTACCTATTTAAACATAGGTTTTTAAAACCCATGTTTTAGAAAGTCACAGAGAACATACATTGGGAAGCACACTCAGAGCAACCGACTCCTGACCCCTAGGGCTTGCACGTGGGTTTCCAGCCCTGACACAGCAGAATGCTGGCTCTGTCAGGAGGGGTTTTCACTGAGGGCACATACGTGCTATTGCTCCAGGGATGAGGGCAACTTCCGGTTTCTAGGGTTGCCACAGACAACCACAGCACACTGGCTGGGCACAAGGACGAGGTGATGCCTCTTTTTCTGTCCGACTTTTCTCTGTCCCGATCCTCACCTTGCTGTCTTCCTCAGCCAGCCTCTCAAACATGTTGGCATACAGCTTCTTCTCCCGTGCAAGCTGCTTGCGGATCCGCTGCTGGCAGATAGCCAGCTGGGCCTTGGCAGCTTTGTTGCTGGGGTAGAGCTGCAGGACCTTCTGGAAGTCAGCCCGTGCCAAGTCAAAGTCATTCACCGCCAGGTGGGCCTCTCCCCGGCGGAAAAGGCCCTTCTCGTTGTTGCTGTCCAGTTCCAGGGCCTAAGGACACAGGGAGGAAACAACAGCAAGACCTCAGCTCCTGCAGCATCTGTGGTCCAAGACTAGGTTCCAAAGGTAGCCCTCAGAACGAGGCAGAATGGAAACAGCTGGCTCCACCCCAGGAAGAATGAGTCTTGGGGCATTAAACGGAAAGGACCAAGGCCTGAGAAGGAACCTCATTTAGTACAAGACGCAGCGAGGGACGATAGGTCTCTAGGTGAAATAGAAGAACCTGTGACAACATTTCCATTTTCTTTAGAATAAAGCAAGTACATTAAGAGGAAGAGGCTAAGAACCAGGTGGGAGAAAACGCTGAAGTAGTTCTTCCCCATCCAGTGTTTCCTTCCACCTCTGTGTCAGCTGCCTCCTACCACTAAAGCCAGCCAAGTCACTTGCTTCTCACATCCCTTGCCTCTGGCCCCTTAATCTCAGAGCACCCACTGGTCCATCCTGCTACCCCTACCCTAGTCATTGAGGGCAAGTTTCAGACATGCTGGCAGCTCACCTGACCTTACCTGTGAATGTGGCTCCCACGCCCTGTTTAAAGGAGCCTCACCTTGTTACAGCTTTCAATGGCAGCAGAGAAGGCCCGTAGTTTCAGATGACACATGGCGAGGTTGAGGTGGGAGGCCAGCCGAAGGGTCCGTGCTTTCTGAGCGTCCTCATTAGAGAAACTTGACTCGTATTCCAGCCAGGACACAATCTTCTTGTACTGCAGTACAGCTTGCTTGTACTTGCCTTCCTAGAACGGGAGGGAGGCTCAGGCACCCAGCACAGGTTCAGTGGCACCAGACTGTCATCCCCTGTAGACATCAGTGACCCATGGGTACGAGAGAGTCCTGCCTCCCTCGCACACCCCCAGGTGAGGCCACCTAGCTCAGATATACTAGGTGAAGACTGCAGGTGCCAGCTTGTCCACTCCCTGGCAGAAAATCACCTCATCAAGGTGAAGGATGGGCCCAGAGGAGCCCTCCCTGGGAGTGTCCTCAGGACAATGGCTGTTGGCTCACCTTGAAGTACACAGTGCCCCGCTCTTTCACTATGGTGCTCTGTTCCAGCTTCTCCTCTGAATTCATCTCCCAAGACTCCTTGGCCTGCCGTACCCCAAGGGAGAAACAAAGCTGTCAGCTACCCCACACAGAGTCACCCTTAGGGTGGGATCTCACTTCAGGATAGGGAAGACCTCGAGCAAACTCACCTTCTCAAAACTCTTGAGGTGTACTTCATATTTCAGCTCTGCATTTGGTGGGATGTGGAGCTTTTCCTTCCCAACACTGCCAAAAGCATAGCTGTGGGGGCAGAAAACCTCTGGGTCATGTCAGCAGTGCTTCACCTGCTCCACACCAGAAAGGCTTCCTGTCTGTTTCCTGGAAAGTACCTTCCCATCCCTTGAGACTTGGTTCAAATGTTTCCTGTTTGGCAAAATCTTCCCTGACCTCTTCACATACAATTAGTTGGTCTCTTAGCATCTTAACATCTCCTTCTAATAACTCATACTACACACTCTCATGATTACTAATTTAAATGGTATCTCACCAAACAGTGAGTCACTAGAAGGCAGGAACAGTGTCTTTGTTTTTTTTGCAAGGAAGATCAGCCCTGAGCTAACATCCATGCTAATCCTCCTCTTTTTGCTGAGGAAGACCAGCTCAGAGCTAACATCTATTGCCAATCCTCCTCTTTCTTCCCCCCAAAGCCCCAGGAGATAGTTGCATGTCATAGTTGCACATCCTTCTAGTTGCTGTACGTGGGACGCGGCCTCAGCACGGCCGGAGAAGTGGTGCGTCGGTGCGCGCCCGGGATCCGAACCCGGGCCGCCAGTAGCGAAGCGCACGCACCTAACCGCTAAGCCACGGGGCCGGCCCAGGAACAGCGTCTTTGAATACCTAGGTATTTTCAGCATTGTGTCTGGGACATAGTAGGTATGTTCCAATAAATGTTAATGACTGAATGAATTAATAGGAGATGAAAATCTTGATGTCAGTAGAGGAGGGAATCTGTAGCAGCCATAACTGAAAAGATTAGGCTTTGATCCAAGGAGATGTGGACAGTTGTGGCCACATTCTTAAATACAACCGAGAGATCACAATGGCCTATCTTTGGTGTGCCCAGAGGCACAGTGAACTCGAATGAGGCTGTGGTGGCAGTGAACACACGCAGGGCAAAGGATACAAATGGCTAGTTATACAACTCACTGTGGACATGTACATCTCTGACCTCGGTTCACCCACCAACTCCTCACCTGGGCTTGAGGTACACAATGGAATGTTCTCCTTTTTCCATGCGCTGAATGGCTTTCTCCAGCCCGCAAGGCAGATCCAGACTCTCCCCCTCACCAACCTCAAAGTGGAGCTCGCGCCGGTCAAAGATCTGGTCCTGGTAGTACCCCACCAGTGCAACTGCATGAGAGGACCAGGGGTGTGAGTGGGCAGGTGACTGAGGAAGGATACCACCAGCCTCCCTCTATCGCCCCATCACTTCCTGCCCCCAAGATGCCCTTGTGGTGTTCTCAGACCTGGAGGGATGTTAAGAGAGTATGGTCCAATCCCACATTTTACAGAGAAGAAAACAGGATCAGAGAAATGAAATGACTTTTCCAAAGCCACCCAGGCCTAAGTATCAGAATCTGAATTGAAACCCCAGACAGCACTGTCTCACCATCTCACCTTCCACGAGAGCGCCCTCATTGGGCCTGGCATAGCCTTCGCCCCGAGTCTGTATTCTCCGGATGATTCCGCCATCTTCTTCTTCTGTCAGGTCCTCTCCCCTAAACTCGAACAACTCCACCTGTGGGACAGAACATAATGTGACACAACTCCTTTCAGCTCTAACTTGCCAACAGTGAGATACAACTTCTCTCCTACTCAGAAGAGTCCCTAGTAACTGCCAGACGAGCCTGACCACAAGGGCAGCCGCGCTAGGAGTGCACAAAGTGGCACTTGTGCTAAGTTCTTGCGAGCTGCCCTAGTCTCAGCCCTGACAGAGGTGGGCAGGCCATGTGGATTTCAGCTGACCTCAAGAGATCAATCTGTTTACCACCTGCTCCACATAACAAGGACACATTCCAGACAATCTTAATTTAGCTACTTGAGAAGCCCAATCTGGTGGGCATCAGAAACGACCTGACATCTTTCAGCAGTCTTCTGAACACTGTCCAAGAGTCCACTGATTAGGGCTTCACCATTTCAGACTGAACAGTCTCACGTCCCACCTCCTCAGTAAAGGCTTTTCTCACCGCTTGACCCGTGGGGGAAGCATCTCTCCCCTCCTCTGATCTCTAGAGCACCAATATTCTATTCTGTCATTTATAACTGTATAGGGATTCTGACCTATTCACTCCTTCCAGTTAAAATTACAACCCATTTCTTCTGGTCACTGCTCTTGAGATAAACATGCCCCAACCCCTGACCCTGCTTCGAGCCTGACCCTGCTTCGAGTCTGAAGAGGGGTCTGAGGCTGCCTCTTCCCACCTGAAACCTCCATCATTGGTCACTTTATGGCAGCCGCAGGCTATGTACACAGCAGAGCCAGCTGCCCTCTTCATTTCTCTTCCTCCCCTAAGGCCAGGCCCTCAGCCTTGGCTACATTGTCTTCAAGTGGCAGGAAGGGCTGAAGGGCAGCCAGGCCCTGGGCTGAGATAAGGTTGGCTCTTTGCCTTGCTCCCTGTGGCTGGACACTCACCTCAAACACAAGCGTGGCATTGGAAGGGATCTTCGGAGGGCTGCCCGCTGAACCATAGGCATATTCCGGTTTGCAGGTGATGTGGCATACTTCCCCCACCTTCATGGTAGCTATGGCAATGTCCCAAGCTTTGATAACCTCCCCTGTAGGTACAGAAAGCAAACAGGTCCTCCTTGGCAGAGATCTGACTCTGGGCTCAAACAGTGGCCCCAGAAACACTTATTGTACCATGCCCGAGGGGAAGCTGGGCACTCTTTAGAAATGGGACCAGGAAGGTAGAAAACCTGGTTGCAGTAAGGGCTGTCAGGTCCCAGACCTCCTTAAAAAAAAAAAAAAAAAAAAAAAATCACTCAATTCTAGAACAAAGGAGTTCAAGAAACAAGGCAGTCCACCCCGAAGAGGAATTGAGGTGTTCAGAGGTGATCAGGGAAAGGGAGATAGAGATCAACATACTTAAGAGACAGTGGGAGAAAAAGGAGTAACAGAAAAAAAATTAACAGACCATAATAAATCATTCCTCCTTAAGCTTCTGAGAATATGGTTCTGCTTGTGACAGCTTATACCCTCCTTGAACCCTATCCTACCAACCCACTAACCATGCCTACCTTTTCCCAGGTCAAAGGAGAATCTGTCCTTGCGGTCCAGACTGGAGTCAAACTTGGTGCCATCTAACAGCCAGCCAGTGTAGTGGACAAAGACTCGGTCCCCAATCATGGGCAACTCTGTGCCCGTGCCCTCTCGCTTGATAACCTGGGAGGAAGCGGAGAAGGTGAGTACCCAGGGAAGGGGACAGAAAGAGGCATCTTTCTGTAAACTGCCTGCACGTGACTGATGGGAACACAGAAGGACTCTTCTGCCTCCTTGTAAGTAGATTCACGGGGTCAATCTTCAAATGAGTCTGACCTCCCTGTCTCTGAGGGGCAACATGTCTTGGTTTGAAAAACGGGAGACAAAAAGACCCAAGTTTAAGTTTTTGCTGTATGATCTTGGATAATTCACTTAAACTCTCTAGACGTTATTTGTAAAGTAGTGATGATAATCCCTCTCAGAGTTGTTGGAGGATTAAATCAGTAAAAGGTTGAATAAAAGATTATTATTAGCAGCAGCAAAGGGAGAAGTGTTTATGCTATGTTTCCTCATTCTTCCTAAATGCCAGTGGTCATCAGATCAGGGTCTGGTTTGGAGATAAGAGGAGGAGAATAAGAGTATTGAAAAAAACAGGAGCAGTCCAAAAGAGTTAAAAGAAAATACCAGGTTACAGATGAGCACAAGGGCTCTCAATCAGGTCCTCAACTCTCATTTGGGACGTGAGCATTCCTGACTGGTAGGCTAGTTAAGTCCTGTATCTCAGGGCTAGAGTATTTCCCAGGAACTTATAAGCCTCTGCTTCTCTTCTTTAGCATTTATAAAAGGGGATTCCAGGGGCCACCTTGTAGGTGTGTGGTTACCCTCTAAAAGAAAGCTTCTATCATAGAACGGACAGGAGACTTGAGAAGTAGAAAAGCAGAGGAGAAGGAGTGGAGGATAAAAGGGGAAATGACCCTTACGGGAATAATCACCTTGTAGAAATGCCCAGGACACTGGAGAGAGAAGGGGAAGCCGCATGTCCACTGGGAGAGCAGCATGAAATTCCTAGATCTGGGGCAAAGCCAGATGCATTTCTGGACCAGGTAAGGGCTCCCCAAGGTTTCTAGCTTTGGCCAGATCTCACACACTCACACACACGTGTGGAGCTAAGCAGTGGGCAGCCAGAACAAGGAGAAACACTGGATGAGAAGAGGGCAAGAAATCCAGCCCAGATTTCTCCATCCTGGACTCCGCACAACCTGCTCTGAACCACTGTTGGTTGTCCTGACCCAGGTCAAGATGCCCTGCCCCCTGAGTCCCGGACACCTCCCCTTCGCTCCTCGGGCTATTTGTAGTCAGCCGGTTCCACTGCAGCAGGCTCCCAGGTAAAGCACCTCCTCCTGGCCCCACACCTCACACCCAGGCTCCATACCCCACACGCCGAAGCCCCAACTCAGGAAGGGGCGGGGGGCGAGACGGGAGGGGAACTACAGGTCCCGGCATGCACCGCTCCCTGGTTTTCCCGGGGCTGGGGGGAGGGGAGAACAGCATGGCTGAGCGGGTGACCTAGCTGGGTCCCAGCCTCTAGAAAGGGGGTAACGAGAGGGTGGAGGGCGCCAGAACCTTTCTCACGGCCAGGCCCGGGCGCCAAGTCTCACAAAGGCTTCTGGGCCAGGAAATCACTCTTGTGACCTGCTCCACGTCCTAGCTAATATTTAACTGCCAGGGGTAGGCGCGCTCTCGCACCACCACCGACGAAGGCCGCCCAGGGACTTCCCAGCTGCGGCTGGCAGGCAGGGAGCCGGCAACTTGGCGGGGCCGCGGGGTCGGGGCGAGGTGAGGTGAGGTGAGGGGGGGCGATGTCGGGGTAGGCCGCCCGGGCCCCCTAGCTGCAGCTCGCGTGCACCGCGGGGCCCCGCCCCGCCCCTCGCCGGCGCACCGCGCACGCCGGAGTCGAAGCTGCACTCCCGACCCCCTTCCCGGGCCCGCACGGCTGCCGGGCCTGAGGGCTTCAGCCTAGACTACGGGCTTCCAAGGGGGCCAGAAAAACGGCCATGTGGCGGCCCAGGCACCTAGACACACCTCTTCGGAGCGTATGGCTGCCCTCCCACTCCCGAACAACGCAGCCTGGTCCAGGAAGGCGATGCAACCGGCCGCCGGCCTGGAGGCTGCACAAGCGGCCGTTTTTGCCCCGTCCCCCGGCCGGGGGGCTTCCAGGGTCGGTGGAAGGGCGGCTGCGATGGGCACCCGGGGCTCGGCCGCCCCAACAGGCCCAGGGCACCCCGGCGCCCCCAGCCGCGGCCGGCCGCCGCCCCTTACCTTAAGCACGCCTCCGTCTTGCTTGGGGCTGATGTCCACTCCCTCGAGGGGCAGCGGCGCCGACTGCGCCCCGCTCTCGGCCGCCTTCATCTCCTCGGCGGTCATCGCCGCTCGGTGCGCCGTTTACTCGGGAGCTGGGCACCAGGCACGAGCCAAGCTCCCTCGGCCGCCCGGCCTGTCTGCACGGGTTGCGGGCGGGAGGGCGCTGGCGCGGCAGCCGCCGAGCTGCAAACCGGCCGACGGCTCGACCACCTCTGCCTCCCGGCGCGCTCGCAGCCCGTGGCGGAGTCGGGCGCGGGAGCGGGAGTAGGTGGGTAATGCGCGGCCGGGGGGAGCGATTGGTCCCACCCCGCGGCGGAGGGAGGGGCTGGGAGGAGCTGGAGCGGGAGCGAGGGACGGAGGGGGGGTGGTGGAGAACTTTCTAGAGACGGCGGCGGCTAAGCCGGTTCGGGCTCTAGTGCTAAGGGCGCGCATATGAAGAAAAATTCTTTTCTGGTTCATTCTTCCCGCTGGCTGCCCACTTCCTCCTCCCCCAACTCCTAGGACCCTCGGAGCATGGGGAACCCCACCCCCAACTCCGCGCTCTCCCCGGGCCTTCCCCCGCCCGTTTCCCGGTCTAACCGGATTCTACCAGATCCTTCTCGATCCCCCCACATCACTCCAACACAGAGCCTGCCAGCCGCCCTAGACATTGCAGCCCGCAGCGTGGTTTGCTCAGAGCGGTGTAGCCGGATGTGAGCGGCAGCGCGTCCGACTCCCCGGGACCGGAGACGCGCATTTTTATACAAGCGGACCGTAAACACAGACGGCATGGCCTCCCAGTCTTTACTCCGCGTGTATACTTAACCAATTGGGGAAAAAGCGGGGAAGGGAATTCGGGCCGAGGGGCAAGTGAGTGAAAAGCGGTTGTGCCAGTGCACAGAATTGGGAGAAAGCAACCTTGATTTCCCCAGACCAGGGAAGATGTGCCGCCTTCATCTCTTTAAAATGGTACGAGCAGCCGATATGCAAGAAATGACCCGCTGCGCTAAGCACTCTTAAATAGGGCACATATTAAAGGGACCTTCCCCGACAATAATAAAACTGCTGTTTCGGTTAATACTTAAAAATTGGTTCAACTCACGAAAAAAGCCATTCGTTTTAGTAAAGGCCCATGAGAGGGAATATTTTCTTCTATTTGGTTGCCAAGTGTTTCTCGACTGCCTGGGGAGCGCAGAGCACCTGTGCTGTAGGTCGAAGCTCTGCGGCACCTAGTTATCCAAACGACAGCCTTTGACAAAAAGACCCATCTGGAGAGGATCTTGATCTTGCTTAGCACTTAACCCCAGTTTAGCATAGTGCCTGGTGAGTGGTATCGAGTAGTTGTTGGCTGCATGACTTTGTATTCCAATAATAAACTTTTTTTGGAGCCCTCGCATTGTACGTGGCACTATGCTGTTGTATGCAAACTGTCCCATTTAGGGAGGTAATTAAAAGGGCTATTACAGATGAAATTTCAATAGGATAACATAATTAGATAATTCATTGTAGTTCATTGTGATGGAACTTGACTGGAAGGGGATGCAGAAGGAATAAAATCGTTTATTCCAGCAATTTGCAGCAAATGAGTTTAGCCACAACTAAGACGTTTCTAAGTCTTAAGACTTAAGGTCACTAAGATGACTGCGGATATCCTCAGAGAGTATGGGCAATTGACTCAGTAGGGTTAAATCTATTTCTTTTCTAAACTTCCTTTAGTAGAAGTAACAGTGCCAAGGCTCTCCAAAACTCCAGGAGACAGGGGTGGTGGGTAAGGTGCTGGCTTGGGGGCTTGGCAGTTATCTTGCTGTTGGCTTAATGCACCTGCTTATTCTCAGTGTGTGCTAGTTTCTTTTGATGCTGGGGCCATTGGGTATTATCTGGCAGAACAAGTTGTGATAGAAAAGTTCACCTTTATAGTAATGCTTTTCTGCATTTTTTTTCTTTATTGGAAGCAAACAGCTTAGGTCTATGTCTTTTAATTCCTGTCAGTACATATTAATTGAGCACTTAAGATGTGCCTGCCATTGCTTAAACACGTAGTTTAATAACAGTAGAAAGAGCATATGCTTGGGACTAAGCAGCGAGTTGGGTTGCCCACATGGTAATTCTTTGATTTGGGGCAGGTTATGGAGATCGTAACATCCGTCAATGAGGGTAGCTATGATGGTTAAACAAGAGGGAAGGTATGTCAGGTATCCAGCACAGTGCTTGCCTTCAAGTGGGTGGTTAATTCATGTTGGTCATTAGTCTACTGTGATAAGTGCTGTGGTGGAGACGGGGACAAAGTGCTAAGAATGCAGAGGTCTGTGAGAGAGGGGAGAGAGCAGGTGGAAGGGGAAGGGAAGGACAAGAGGGAAAGCTTTGTCCACATTCACTGAAGGAGTAGATGAGGGTGCTGGGGATAGAAGGGAGAGGGGAGGGGCAGTAGGCAGTGGGTTCTTGAATCCCAGAGCAGGACCTTATTGTTTCTAGAAGTTTTTCTGGTTATTTACATTATATTCTTCTGATAGTAAAACTTGCACATACTCAATATAGAAGGTGCACAGATGTGTTTTTCTTTCCCTCCTCTTACCCCCTTCCCAGCCCTTTTAAATTAGTATTCCCCTTAAAGATGTTTAACAATGTAATTATTTTCACTGGTATCCTTTAGTCATTCAAAATCCTTGTGAAATTTTTCCCTTTTGCTAGAGGAAGAGAGCCCGCTTTCTTTTTTTTATCATCTACCTTGCTCTGTAGATGACTCATGCTTTGTTATTGCCAAACTGAGCCTTGCAGAGCTTATCTGGTTCATCTCCCTAATGCTAGGCCCATCCTTCAGACATGAAGACCCCCTTGTTTTTTAAAGTTGTTATTTTGACTTAGACTGCCAATGCTCTTAAACATTTGAAAAATTATATAATATGAATCATTCAAAAGAATGTGAGATGAGTATATGTGTGTTTCTATACCTGAACATACACAAACACCCTTTATGTAACAAAACAACGTAATGAACCTTGGGAATATACCACCCAACCTAAGAATTACAACATCACCAGTCTGATTTGTGTCAAAAATGTAATACCAAAAATGTTAAGGACCTTTACATAATTTCTTGCTACTTTTGGTGTTTGTTAACTGAGAAAACACAAACTATACTACTGACCAAAATAGCTACTACATGTTTCATAAAACATTTATTTATTTACTTATTTTAGTGATTACAGCTCCATTTTCATAATTTGAAAAATAGTAGACCTCTGTTTGTGAGGTCTGCATGTAGTGGAGATCTGCATAGTGTAAAAGGCTCATGGGCTCTGGCTTGGGTTTGCCTGGGTTCACGTCTCAGCTGCGTCATTGAACACACCGTGGGTCCTGGGGCAAGTGTCCCTCGCCTCTGAAATGGGAATCACAATAGTACGTATCTCAAAGGGGTTCACTTTGAGGATTGAATGAGTTATTATGTGTGAAGTACTTAAAGCAGTGCATGGCGCATAATAAGTAAATCAGTGGTAATCAGTGTGTGTGCCACGTTTTATTTATTCAGCCTGTTGATTTCTGGAATATAGAGTAGAAGACCTGGAAGACCCCAAAGTCTCTAGCCCTCGAGTTGAGAGCCACTGGTCTGGACAAGGGTTGGCTCCATCATTTCCAGAGGAGTGCTTCTCTCCTGATGTTAAATCACGTTGTACTTTTTTCCTTTAACACTTGATTATGAACCTGACTATCTAATATAACTCATAGTAGCTTTGTGTGCTGATATTTTGTCATCCCAGCAAGACTGGGGGCCCTCTGAAGGTAAAGACTTGGTCTTACAGCTTCGTTGGACTCCACCATTATGTGATCTCCTAGGGGATGGGAAGACAGGCTATTTGGTGATTGTCCTGCTGAAACAAAGGATTTTTTTCCTTCTTTTTAAAAATAAAATCTAGTTTTATGCTTCAGATAAATATATATTTTTGTTTTGCTCTTAGGGACGATTAAAAAGTAGCTAATCTTTATCCTTCCATGTCTATGAATGCACTGAAATTTGGCTGTGGCCTCATTATTCAGAGGTTCAAATAATGATATACCTGTTTCATTTTATTTTATTTATTTATTTTTTTGTGAGGAAGATCAGCCCTGAGCTAACATCCATGCTAATCCTCCTCTTTTTGCTGAGGAAGACCGGCTCTATGCTAACATCTATTGCCAATCCTCCTCCTTTTTTTCCCCTCAAAGCCCCAGTAGATAGTTGTATGTCATAGTTGCACATCCCTCTAGTTGCTGCATGTGGGACTCGGCCTCAGCGTGGCTGGAGAAGCCGTGCGTGGGTGCGAGCCTGGGATCCGACCCTGGGCCGCCAGTAGCGGAGCGCACGCTCTTAACTGCTAAGCCACGGGGCCGGCCCGTGGTATACCTGTTTCAGCATTATTTCTAGCTTCCCCAAACTTGTGTGTGATCAAAGGTCACATGTTTGTCTAGGTTATCATCCTATCTAATTAGCATAACTAGAACGAAGATTGTCATTTGGGAAAAATACATCCATCCAGGAGGAAAAATACTTGCCCTCCCTCATCCTCAGTTGAAAGTAAATGTGTATTTAATATAATAAATGTCCACTGTAGTGACCACAGGAACAACCCAGCAGCTGTTATTACTGAGAAATTAAGAAATCATTGTTCCTTCAGTATAATCTCAAACTTCTATAATTGGCCTGCTAACATTTTAAAACATTTAAATTGTATTAATAATAAATTTATATGGAAGTTCAGATTCATTCTTGTATCTCAGAAGTTCATTCTGTGTTGGTAATAGTCAGCTGTCGTCTAGTCAAATATTGACTTGACTATTTATCCTTTCAGCATTTAGCCAAAATGTGTATTCAGAGCATCTCTGAGTTTAACCCTTCACATGGGCTCTGCAGATGGGTTTTAAGTAGCTCCTCTCTCCACAACTAACCTCCTCCAGGGAAACTATTCTGGTATTTCCTTGGCCTTACTTCCTCAGGTTTTATTTCCTCCCGGGTTGCAGGGAGCCCTAGCGGGAGGTGGGAATACTCCCACAGATTCCTGGAGAGACAGGGTAGAGAGAGCCTCATACACCTACGGGGAGAAGGGGTATCTACTTTTTTTAAAGGGGCTCTTGGTTTGCCAGGGGCTTCATTGATCAATTACTTGACATCCCAACTCTTCTCTCTTTCTTTCCTATGGGATAGAATTATGGAGAACATCCCTCAGCCCCTGTCCTGAAGACCATGCCCGCTAATACTTGCCACCAGCACTTTCTATAAATGGCCAGTTGGTGTAAAGATATTTTTTGAGCACCTTCTAG